CTGGCGTAGGCCAGATGATGCCTGCACTGCCCGCTCACCACAGCCACGAATACACCTCATCAACATGCACCAACACAGTATTGGTTCAGGCCGAGGGAGACTAGGAGCCTTAAGCTTGGTTTATGCTTGACGCATTCACTTTCTGCGCGGTGATGCGGCTCGCGGATGGAACGCGCTTCACAACTCGCAGCGTTTATGGTTCATGCGGCTCGTCTCTGCGGTGAGCCAATATTCTCCCAAACTGAACGGGGCAGCATGGAGCTCTACGGCATGCATCCAACACTACACCATAGTAGAAGTAGAAATGACTGTTTACAACACGGCATTTCAGCATTTTTAACAGCGTTCTCGTCTTTTCCGACAGTGCGACTTATTTCTCTCCAAGAATTATTAACATGTTGATCACGGTGATCTTTGAGAGCTGAATCATACAAATGTCTGTGTTTACAAACCTCTGCCGTACTAGTTCTTGCCGGTCCGCCATGTTTTTCCGCGTCCATCCGTCCGCGTGGTTAGAAATTTTCCGAGGTGCGCTTTGCGGAAATTCTGGGCCGTGCGGAGGCGCGGCGGAGGGGCGTGGTTGTTAAAATGACGCAAAATGACGCAACTTTTCCGCATGGAGCCGTGCGGACCTCGCGGACGCGTCAAGCATTAACCAACCTTTAGCACACCTCTGTTGTCGCTTGGCTTCCCGGGGCAGGAGGCTAGGAGGGGGTTCTGGCCGTCTGGCTGTGGTCTGGGGTGGTGGGTCGCTGAGCTCGGCATTGGGTGGGCGAGCCTGCTCATCAGCGCCCCAGCAAAAAGGGTCGAACTCTGGGAACTGGTGATGGTTGTACCCTTTGTTTAGCAGTACCGGGACCAGAGTGAATAGGGTGTGTATGGGGAGCGTGAGTGGGTGTCTTTGTAAGTCTTTGGTTGTATGTGTGAGCATGAGGGAGGGAGTGTGTGACTGTGTTTGTGTATGACTGTATATGTCAGGTGGAGCATTCGACACCACCCTTCTCCTGGGACATTTTTTTTTGCTGCTATACATCTTCGCCTCCCCTCCCCCTGCCACACTTGGTGTGGAATGTGGTGCAATGGTCTGCCTGAATGTTCGCGGCTCCCGGATCACGGGGTTTAAGGTTTTTGGCATCTGCCTGATTAATCCCGGTGGCTGCCTGGTGGGATCTGAGTCCCTGGGCTCTGTTGGGTCCCTGGCGGGGCTGGTCGTCCCTGGGTCCCAGGTCGCTCGATTCCAGGCTCGGCCGGCTTGGGGGTGGGAGGCTGTGGGCAGGCCTGTGGGCTTGTCCTCCGCTGATATTCCCCGGGACTCTGCCGGCTGCTGGTTGTGGCCCCCCAGGGCAATCCTCTGTGCCTCTCGAGGGGGGCAGGGGCTTTTCTGGTCGCAGTCTCCCTGGGGTCCCTGCGCTCTGGGGCAGCTCTTGGATCTCTGAAACTTGGAGCTCCTTCCATCTCCTATGTATTTTTGGGGGGCAGATATTTGGCCCCTCACACTCTCTATTGGATGCTTCTATAGAGAAACCTTACATATACAAGCGCAGGTACACACACAGGTGCTCACATGGTGCTCTCATAAGTATGGACTTGGGCACATTCAACACACGTCTTAAGGCTGTGGTTGGCACTTAATGCACTGTGATTTATTATCGTGATTTTTCAGTAAAACAATGTTGATTATATATTTCCTCGTCAAGTTGACACAGTGATTGTCACTGTTGTATTGTTGTTTGTCCCTTTTCGTTTTTTTTTCTCCTTCTGCAGGTCCAGAAGCAGACTCTTGTTCATCATTGATTGTTTATCTTTGTGGACCCCCCCCCCCCAAAAAAAGCACTGTCCACATCCCGATTGGGGCGCCTTGAGAGCATGTCTGCATTTGTATACTGTTGTCCCTCTTTGTGATGCAACACCCAGTTGTAAGGATCCAACTCTAGGATCAACCAAGCTCTCTTCCCCTTGGATCTTTATCAATAGCTAAACCTTGAAGCCCCAATACAGGTTTGTGGTCCATTATTATGGTGAATGCGGTGGACCCAATGTAGTGTCTGAACTGTCGAACGGCCCATACTACTGCCCACAGCTCTTTGTCAAATGTGGACCAGCGTTTCTGGGTGCTAGTCAACGACTGGCTAGCATACACCCCTACTCTTTCAAGCCCACCTTTATCCTGAGCCAATATCGCTCCCACAGCTTCCATAGAGGCATTCGTGTACACTTTAAAAGGAATGGTCATGTCCGGCATGGCCACCACCGGGGCCGATGAGAGCACTGACTTTAAATACTCAAATGCCACATCACAGTCCTTGTTCCATTCAAACGAAACACCTTTACATCTTAACTATTGCAGTGGAGCAGCAAGATGAGCAAAGTCTTTGACAAATTGCTGATAGTAAGAGCATAAACCAAGAAAAGCTCTCACCTCAGTGGGCGACTGTAACGTGGGACAGGTTTTTACCTTGTCCGTGTTCCTGGGGTCTGGCTGTTGACCGTGACAGGAGACTACATGGACCAAGAATACCACATGATCTCTGGCCAAGTAGCATTAACAAGGGTTAAGCCTCAGACCCATGGCCCGGATTCGAGAGAACACCTCTCGCAACCTGGCTACATGTTCTTCGAAAGCATATCAACACATCTTCTAAATACACCATACACATGTGCCACAGGAACCCCCGCAAAATCAGCTCCACCATGCACTGGAATGTGGCAGGTGAGTTGGTGAGACCCACAGGCATAGACTTCCACTGGTACAGCCCCCAGCCAGTGGTGAAAACAGTTTTTGGGTGGTCCTCCTCGGCCACATCAATTTGCCAGTAGCCATTAGAAAAATCCAAAGTATCAAACCAACGGGACCTCATCAAAGAATCTAGTGTATCATCCACTCGAGGCAAAGAATGACAATCTTTTACAGTGACACTGTTCAACCGTTGATAGTCCATACAGAACCTCTAGTCACGTTTTTTTTTTTTACCAAAACAACCAGAGAGGTCTAGGGGCTACAACTCTCTTCAATCAACCTATCCGCCAACGGTTACCTGTCTGTCTATTTCCTCCCTCTTTTCAGGCGAGGTCTGGTAAGCCCGCTGTTTCAAGGGTACCGATGTTAATGCTGTGTTTAATAAGGGTGCACTTCCCCGTCACTGCTTTAGATTGGCTAAAAATGGTAAATGGCCTGTATTTGATATAGCGCCTTCTAGAGTCCTGGAACCCCTTAAGGTGCTTTACAACACAATCAGTCATTCACCCATTCACACACACATTCACACACTGGTGGGGATGAGCTACAATGTAGCCACAGCTGCCCTGGGGCGCACTGACAGAGGCGAGGCTGCCGAGCACTGGCGCCACCGGTCCCTCCGACCACCACCAGCAGGCAACGTGGGTTAAGTGTCTTGCCCAAGGACACAACGACAGCGACAGACTGAGGGGGGCTCGAACCTGCAACCTTCCGATTGCGGGGCGAGTACTTAACTCCTGTGCCACCGTCGCCCCATATTCAGTTAGCAGTATTTGTAATGGGCTGGCGGAAGAATCCATCAGCGACATGGGGGGTGTGTCTGTCAGTACCACGGAAGGCACCGTTTTCATAAGGGGTTCACTACATCCTGCTCCTCTACAGAAAATAACTCTCCAAGATGTGTGCCTTCTCGTAGCATCACCTCTTGGCTGGTAGGATTAAGCAACTGAGCCACAGTAATGCCCTTTTGTACCGAAGTGAGTATGAGCACCACACACTCACTCTTACTCTGAGGATTGGGTTCTAGGTACCTGACGAAAGGCACTGGGGCCAGCATCTCACTAAGTGGCGGTCCCACTTAGCATTTAGCTGTTGGCAGCATCTTCAAAATAACAGTCCCGCAAAAGTGGGTTGAACAACGAAAAAACGAAGAATCTTCACCCTAAAGCTTCTCTTATCTGAAGATCTTAATAAAAGTTTTATCAGTGCAATATGCAGAAAAAGAAAATATACATTACTAACTAATACACACATCTTAATGTCACCTTTAGGGAGAATGAGATTCAGCTGCTATTGGAGAAAAATAAAGATGGTACTTTTCCTGTTACTAACTTAAAATGAAGCAGTTGTTATTTTGCAAAGATTTTTTTTTAAAGAAAGCATGATAGGAGAAATGTGACTTTGGTAACCCAAAATGTTTTAGATTTTTGATTGTGGGTGGTGGGGGATGGGGGGGGGGGGGGGGGGGTGAGACAGGTACACTATCTTATTGTTTTATATTAGTATAAGAAATTAAGTTGATGGCATCTCGGATATTGGTTAAAAAAAAGTCAATATCGAGCATTTTAACCCTTTAGTGTTCAAATATGGATACAAAAAAAATGACAAAATAAAATGAACATGAATTTTGAATAACAGAGAACATTATAAGGCTCTTTAGAATAATCTAGCACATTTTAGAACATTTTCACTGTAGACTAATACAGATTATATCACAATTATTGTACAACATAGTGTATTTTTCATAAACACAGGTTACTGTAGAATATTTTTGAAACAACATTTCTGATCATTATAGAATATTAGAATGTTTTAGAATGTTATATATTAAGGATATGCCTCAAAGACATGTTCCTCGTTTTCATCATTAGTGAAGCTTGATCCCTGATGACTGGCTGGGTAAAATCCTGTAAGAGTCCATGAAAAGGCACACTGGCACCATGTATGATGTGAGTGGATGTGTCTAAAAATAGACATTGGCCCTATAAAAAGGTAAAATAAGAACTTTGGTACCAACAGGCTGATAGAAACCCTAACCCTTCAATAATTTAATTGGATCAAATTACTAATATTTGTGGATCTAAATTTACGTTTTTCCAGTAACTACATTTTCACAACAAAACACAAAAAACAAGTGGGTGTTTTTTTTGTATTCATAATGCTCAAAATGAATTTGCAAACACAGTTTTAAGTCGAGTTTTGAGTCCTGGATAAATTGTTTCAGATGTACTATCTTTATTCTAAATCCTGTTTTGGTTTTTAGGTTTTCCTCAGACGCCAGAGTGGCAGACTGGAGTTCTTCCGCAACTGGAAAAACTACACAGCTGGTTTTGGGGACATGAATGATGAATTTTGGCTTGGTGAGTTCTGAGAGCTGAAGGGGGTCCACTGTGTTTTAGGGGTACTTGTCTCAGAATCCTTCTGGGGTTTGGTTTGGAATGATAACGTAGAGGTTGTAGTTTTGTGAAGAAGACGTTTTATTTGGAATTGAACTTTATTACATGATAATTTGCTCACATCTATTTCAGGACAGACTTTTGAAGATTCAGTTTTCCACATCCTGAGGGACAGGATAGATAATTTAATAGGGGCCAGACTTGATTAAAAAATGTATCTAATTAATCAGTGTTACATCCCCGACAGGAGATGTTAAAATGTGAAGGAGGGGGTAACATAAGAAATGCTACAGTGGAGTTAGAATGGGTTTAATAGTTCTAAAAGGTTCTAAAAACAAGTGCAAACAGATGGAGAGCATTATTAAAATAATGCCAAACAAACAAAATCAGGACTAAAAGGTTAACATATAAAGGGCGAATTATCAACATTAAAACACCGAAACAGAAGGTGCTTTAAAAGCACAAGATGATAATAAAACCGACGCGCTACGAAAACGCAGAGTATTTTAAAATCCCAAAATCGGACCATTAGCATGGACAGGCTGGCCTTAGCATCGGAGAGGCTAGCCATTAGCGTGCCTAGGCTGGCCACTAGCTGACTAGTGACTCTCCAAGACATGCTAATGGCTAGTCTCTCCGATGCTAATGCCAGCCTATCCATGCTTAAGGTCCGTCAAGGGGGTAGGAAATCCAGCTGGTGGCATGCCTAAGCACGCTAATGGCTAGCCTCTCCAACGCTAACGCTAGCTTATCCATGCTAATGGTCCGTCGAGGAGGTAGGAAATCCAGCTAGTGGCCAGCCTAGGCACGCTAATGGCTAGCCTCTCCAATGCTAAAACCAGCCCGTCCAGGCTAACGCTAGCCTATCCATGCTAATAGACAGCAGAGGGAGTGTGTGAACCAGTCAATGACCAGCCGAGGGCTGCTAGTCCCTAGTGTATCTAGTAATAACACTGGTAAAGGTGCTATTCCTCAGTAAGTAGCGCCAGCCTCTCAGTTACCGGTGCCAGCTTATCAGATCAGTAGTTTGCTTCAGAATTTATATAGCCTCCTGCTGCTGGGCAGTAGTCTTAATTCTGGCCCCCATACCGCACCATAAAATGAGGCCTGGAGGACAGCAGAACCCCTGCACTGCTGCCTCCCAGACTGCTGAATGCACAGCCTTTTTATCCCAGGTATGGTTCATCAACAGGATTCAGCTCAGCTGTGCTCCTCAGCAGCCTGGAAGAGAGGAGGGGGAGGGGCGGTGTCAGGCTTGATCACCAGGGCTGGGTGATCTTGGTTCTATTTCGTCTAGTCTTAGCCCTTAAGCTAGCTGCTATTGGAAGGATGATCTCCGCATCAGCCAATCATGAAGAGCTTAAATGTACGCCCACCAATAGTGGGCCCCCTCGTGGTATATAACCGCAGTGACCCCACTGCTCACCTCCTTTTTCTCTTCATGCCAAGCTTGAGAGCTTTTTTAAAGAGCAAATATTATCCTAAAAGAGCAAAATTATCCAAAGACGACTTACCAGCCATGTCCAGCGACGCCAAACCCTGCCCGACCTGCCAGACGGGCTCCATTTCCAGCGGCGACCTGCACGCTAAGTGTGAGGTCTGTCTCGGGGCTCACCACGCTGGCCTGGCCTTGACCCCGCAGGCCTCGTGCCCATTCTGTGCCGCTCTGCCCGTGGCGGAGAAGATTTGCCGGGTCGAGTACTTCACTCCCGCCGCCGACGAAGAATTTCCGGTTGCTGACTCGTACCCGCTGGACAAGGCTTTGGATTTCTTCGACGCCGGTCAGGAGCCGGCTGGCTTCAACCGGCTGGATGACGTCACCAACAGCGAGAACTACGATGAGGCGGCATCCCTCCTAGACATAACGGAGGTTGACGAGCTTCGCTCAGCGGGTCCTTCTGCCCCAGTGGCTTCTCGCTCCTCCCTGCCAGCAGTAAGAGCACTGCTCCAGGAGCTGCCCGCCATCATTTCTGCGGCAGCAGCCCGCAAGGGGCTAGCTGTGCCAGAACCGGCCCCGCCTGAAGCGGATGATTTGGAGGGAATTTTCGGGGCAACTCAGACACGCTGTCCAGACCCTATCTGGCCGCGCTTCCCCGCTGCTATGAGCTGCTGGTCTGCCGCCTTCTCCGAGCCTGCCAAGCTCAAGGCGCCAGTCTCCACGTATGCGCCCATCACCAAGGTCGAGGGGTTTTCCGACCAAGGCTGGCCGTCCGTTCCTCCGCTAGAGCCGGACTTGGCCTCGCTGTTCGGCGCCAAGAACCACCTCGCTGGCCCGCGAGCTGTTCCCGTTTCAAAACATGACCAGCTGCTGACGCTGCTCACCGACCGCGCACATCAGTGTGCCTTTCAGACTGGCGCTGCAGGGAATAACATCGCCCTTCTTGCCTTCGGTGTCTCAAAGATGATGGAGGAGCTGGAAGCTCCCGAGGAGTCGAAAGCTGTCATTACTAAGACTGCTGATGCTATCCTCAATCTGTGTGCTGCTGTGCTCACCGGTTCTGCTCGCATCGCTGCGTGGCAGACCCTCATCCAGCGAGCGAGCTGGCTGAAGGCCCTGCCCTCCATTCTGGAATATCTGCAAAGGGAGATGCTGGACTGCCCCATCACCACCGATGTTCTGTTTGGTCCCCATCTTAGGGGCGTCATTGAGAGGGCTCAGAAGACGGCCGAACTATCGGCTACGGTGCGAGACCTGGTCCACCCTCGGTCAGCCTCGCTCTCCGGCCGTTCAGCCAGAGGATGGGACGAACGGCGCGGAAGCTTCAGACATCCAGCTGCACCGCCCGCTCCACGGAGCCGGCCTCCCGCTTCGGCTCCACATCAGCGGGACCAGCGAGATGGCGGACAACGGTTCCGGCGGGGGGCCAGCAGACGCCGTCTTGGCAGTCCCAGGTGCAGGAGCCTCGCCGAAAGCAGCCACGGAAGTGACTCTTTGGGGGGAATGTGTGTGTTACTGATTGTTCTGATGTTGTTGTTGGTTTTGAAATAAAACCCAAAAAACGTCACTCAAAGAGCACAATCCTACAGTCCTCCGCAGAATCCTCTGCCGAGTTCTCACACATGTTCCCCACACCAAGCACTGCTGCACGCACACATGTTCCTGCAGGTACAGGTAGTCATAATACACGGCCAGCCGTAAGGGTGCGCTCCATTTGCGCTCCGGCCCCAGCATCCGGCCAGGCCCAACTCTTCCCGCTCTCCCCACACCGTTGGGTAGGGCGGGATGTCAGGTCGCTGTCTCGACCACGCGCGGCGGCACAGTGCGCGGCTCCATCCGCTGGCACTCTGTCGCCCCCGTGCACGGACCCGGCTCCCACTCGTCCTTCACTCTCGGACTCCACGCTCCGCGGTGTGGACCAGCCTGTTCCAGCTGTTTCGCACTCGCCCTTTCGAGCGCAGCCCTCCATGGGTCGCCCCCAGTTCTCTGGTACGGGCGACGGCGGTAAGGGCGCATGCACAACCCTCAGACGTTGTTCACGTGACCGCGCACATGCGTCCACTGTCGGAACGCGCACACGAGTGGCGCCGCCTTTGTATCATGAGCAAATGGATTTCGGACACCATTCAATGCGGTCACACACTTCATTTTCAGGCCACTCCACCTCCCTTCAACGGGATCGTGGAGACGACGTTCACATCGCAAGTACAGTCTCAGGCCCTAGAGCTGGAGCTGCGGGAACTTCTGTCCAAGGACGCTATTTCCCTAGTCCCTCGCGGACAAGAACTCTCGGGCTTCTACTCCCGCTACTTCGTAGTACCGAAGAAGTCGGGAGGAATGAGGCCGATTCTCGACCTGTCCCTGTTCAACTGCTCCATAGCAGTAATGCATTTCCGCATGTTAACGATGAGACAAGTCCTGGAATACGTGCGCCCCGGGGATTGGTTCACGTCAATCGACCTGAAAGACGCATACTTCCACATACCAGTAGTTCCAAACCACCGGAAGTTTCTGCGTTTTTCATTCAAGGGAGTTGAATATCAGTTCAATCGCCTCCCTTTCGGCTACTCGCTAGCCCCGCGCACCTTCTCCAAATGTCTGGAGACCGCGCTGCAGCCACTGCGCACGGAGGGAATGAGGGTCTTATTTTACCTGGACGATCTTCTCCTGTGCGCTCGGTCCAAGGACGAGGCGTCACAGCAAACCAGGAGGTTGACAGAGCATCTGTCAACCCTAGGGTTTTCTATAAACTGGGAGAAGAGCTCCATCCTTCCGTCCCAGTCAATTGTGTATCTCGGGGTGGAGTTGAACGCCTCCCTAATGAGAGCACGTTTGTCGCCTGCAAGAGCGGCAGATCTCTCCACGTGATCTCCCGTGTACAACCCTGCAAGATCGTGAGAGCCCTATTAGTCATGAAACTCCTGGGCATGATGTCCGCAGCCCATTCGGTGGTACCGCTAGGTTTGCTGCGCACGAGGCGCTTGCAACGCTGGTTCATCCGCCTCCGGGTACACCCGATACGTCAGAAGAGACGTATGTTGAGGATTCCCCCTTCAGTGGAAGGGGACCTCGCTTACTGGGGGAACCCCTGCATCCTCTCACGCGGGGTTCCCATCGGACGTCCTGCATCACACGTATCTGTGTTTACGGATGCGTCACTGTCGGGGTGGAGGGGCACGTGCTTGTCCCATACGGTGGCAGATCGCTGGCCGTCCCACACGCACGAGCACATAAATGTGTTGGAGCTTATGACAATGAGGAATGTGATCAGACACTTCGCCGCCCTTCTCGAGGGCCGTCATGTCGAAGTTCACACACACAACCAGGTGGCGGCAGCCTACATAAATCGCCAAGGGGGAGTTCGATCCCTCCCAGTGTTGCGTGTCGCCACAGATTTACTGTGTTGGACACATGTCCATCTGCTGTCCATCAGAGCCATCTACATGCCGGGGGTACTGAATGTAGCGGAAGACATCCTGTCGAGAGGGAGACCCCGCGACTCCGACTGGCGTCTGCATCCTGCACTGATATCACAGATCTGGATCAGGTTCGGGGAACCGTCTGTGGATCTGTTCGCGGCTCGCGAAAACACTCAGTGTCACCTGTGGTTTTCCCTGAGTCCCCGGGACGGACCCCCGCTCGGGGCGGACGCCTTCTCACAGCAGCCCTGGCCTCGAATGCTCCTTTATGCGTTTCCACCAGTCCCTCTGATTCCCCGTCTCCTGGACCGAATTCGGTCGGAACAGCTCTCGGTGATTCTGGTGGCTCCCAGACGCTTGTCCGCGTCATGGTTTCCGGACCTGCAAGCGCTAGTGTCCGGCTCCCCGTGGAGGCTCCTGTGGAGGGCGGACACCCTTCTCCAGGCGGATGGGATAATAAAACATCCTCCGGAAATAGGCCAACGGCTGTGGGTTTGGCCGCTGAGCGGTCACGCTTAGAGGCTTCTGGGCTGCCGCATGATGTGGTCGCCACGATTCAGAGTGCGCGGGCGCCCTCTACCATTGCGTCTTACGCTGCTAAATGGGCAGCTTTCCAGAAATGGTGTACAGAACGGAATGTTCAAGCGCTCTCCTGCCAGCTGGCGGATGTCCTATCGTTTCTGCAGATACTGATGGACAGGGGCCTCGCATTCAGCACTGTTAAGACATATGCTGCAGCTATCTCATTCTGTCATCAGGGTTTTGGAGATAGATCTGTTTTCAATCATCCCCTCACAAAACGTTTCCTAAAAGGTGTCAGGAGGAACAGACCTGTGTCCCGCCCGCTTTTTCCCCAGTGGGATCTAACGGTGGTTCTGCATGGCTTATCTGGAGCCCCATTTGAACCCTTGGACCAGGTCTCACTCAAGTTCCTGTCGCTTAAAACTGGATTGCTGCTGGCGCTAGCATCAGTTAAGAGAGTGAGTGACCTTACCGCCCTCTGAGTGGCTCCAGCATGCCTCAGGATCCGGGAGGATGGCGGGTCTGCTGTTTTATGCCCCAACCCAGCCTTTGTGCCCAAAAGCATTAATGCTTCCTTCAAATCCAGGTCAATTTCATTGGCTGGACTTTTTCCTCCTCCCCATAATTCTTAGGAGGAGGCGGCTTCACACCTTCTCTGCCCGGTGCGCGCGCTTGCACGATATGTGTCACGCACTTCAGGGATTCGTCGCTCACAAAACCTGTTTGTGCACTACAGGTCTTCCCTTGGTCAGGCGCTGTCGGCCCAGCGTCTTTCACACTGGCTGTGTGACGCCATTTCACTCGCTTACACATCATCAGGGCAGGATCCCCCTGAGGCACTCAGGGTTCACTCAGGCAGAGGGATTTCCTCTTCGATGGCGCTCCTCAGTGGTGTGTCAATGGAAGACATTTGTCAGGCTACTTCATGGGCTTCACCCTGTTCCTTTACTCGTTATTATTTACGAGATGTGTCTTCAGGTTCCATCACTTGTTCAGTGCTTGGACCCCAGCAGGCTAAATGAATGCTTATGGCACCTCATTGGCCTTGCTGAGATGGATTTTATCCTCTTGTGGATGATGTTTTTTAGTGGGGGCCCCTCTTTTATCGTGGCTGCCTCAGTCTTTAAGCCTGGTCTGAGGCTGAACGTCCCCCACTAGAGGAGATTTGATTGGGTGTGTCCATTGGTTGTGTTAACCAGTGGGGCGTAAACCCATCCAGCTGCGCTTTATTCCAATAGCAGCTAGCTTAAGGGCTAAGACTAGACGAAATAGAACGTTGGTTACGTATTGTAACCCCAGATTCTATGAGTCTAGTCGCAGCCCTTAAGCCACTGGCCCCACTGGTTATGATGGGAATAAGAGCCATTGGAGGTGAGCAGTGGGGTCACTGCGGTTATATACCATGAGGGGGCCCACTATTGGTGGGCGTACATTTAAGCTCTTCATGATTGGCTGATGCGGAGATCATCCTTCCAATAGCAGCTAGCTTAAGGGCTGCGACTAGACTCATAGAATCTGGGGTTACAATACGTAACCAATGTTCCTTTACTCGTTATTATTCACGAGATGTGTCTTCAGGTTCCATCACTCGTTCAGTGCTTGGACCCCAGCAGGCTAAATGAATGCTTATGGCACCTCATTGGCCTTGCTGAGATGGATTTCATCCTCTTGTGGATGATGTTTTTTAGTGGGGGCCCCTCTTTTATCGTGGCTGCCTCAGTCTTTAAGCCTGGTCTGAGGCTGAACGTCCCCCACTAGAGGAGATTTGATTGGGTGTGTCCATTGGTTGTGTTAACCAGTGGGGCGTAAACCCATCCAGCTGCGCTTTATTCCAAGAGCAGCTAGCTTAAGGGCTAAGACTAGACGAAATAGAACGTTGGTTACGTATTGTAACCCCAGATTCTATGAGTCTAGTCGCAACCCTTAAGCCACTGGCCCCACTGGTTATGATGGGAATAAGAGCCATTGGAGGTGAGCAGTGGGGTCACTGCGGTTATATACCACGAGGGGGCCCACTATTGGTGGGCGTACATTTAAGCTCTTCATGATTGGCTGATGCGGAGATCATCCTTCCAATAGCAGCTAGCTTAAGGGCTGCGACTAGACTCATAGAATATGGGGTTACAATACGTAACCAACGCTCCTGCATCTCACTGGCCAGGCTGGTAGTCGAAACAATCAGAGACTCTGTAATTAATTAATCTTGACTAATCACATTTTAATCGTTGAAGAAATATTGCCCCAATTAGAATTATTTTTTCTTATAAAAAATAATTTTTTGAGGCACAGATGACAGACCCACACTTTAATAAGTATATTTATGTAACCACAAGGTCAGTTTGATTACTTTGTTCTTATTGCAAAGGTAACCATTGTGGGATTTGTTGGGATAAGTAAACATTCGTATATGGTATCGATACACAGGGCAGACATTTTGATGCTAAACCTTTTCAGTCCCTGATTGGGGGGAGCTCAGGCTCAAGCGGTAATTTTTATTGCATTATTTTGTTCAAATAAATTAAATGCAAATAATATGTTAAATTTGGGCTACATAGTGGTGCAGTTGTTGGCACTGTTGCCTCGCAGCACAAAGGTTGCAGGTTTGAAACTCGGCTGTGGCCTTTCTGCGTGGAGTTGCGTGTTCTCCCCATGCATGCGCTGGTTTCCTCCGGGTACTCCGGTTTCCCCCACAGGTCACAACATGCCCTATAGGTTATAAATTGTAAGTCGCTTTGGATAAAAGTGTCTGCTAAATAAATAAACGTAAACATAAATGTCCACCCCTAATTTTTAATAAAACATTATCAGTGCAAATAGAAAGATGGAACTGACTTCTTATGTCTTCATTTAGGTTTGTCCAACCTGCACAAGATCTCGTCTGGAGGACAGTATGAGCTGCGGGTCGACCTGAGAGATAAGGGAGAGACTGCCTATGCCCAATATGACAAGTTCTCTGTGTCTGAACCACGAACCCGGTACAAAGTCCATGTGGGAGGATACAGCGGGACAGCAGGTAGAAATCACATCTTCATCTCCGGTTCTCCTGGATCTGGAGAGACTAGGGCCCTCATCTGGTTTGTTATCTCTGACGGCCTGGGTGATCAGCCAGGTCACCGCTGCAGGATTGTTCCTCTAAGTGTGTTAGTTGGTTTTAGATTTAGATTCATGAATGGAAATTTGTTGCAGACTATACAAATTAAAAGTGAACAGAATTCAGTTCCTACTGTGGTGTTCAGAGACTCTGGTGTAACTCATCACTGCTCTCAGGCTTCAGCTCAATTCAGATCTTAGGCAACTTAAAGAGCAAATTGCAGGTACATGTTTTTCTAATTCATATAAAACGCTGTCCAAAAATACTATTTGAAATGCTTATTGTGGATATGCTGTTTTAAAATACATAACAGCAGAGTTTTCTAGTAAAAAGTGGCATTTCTCAGCAAAGCTTCTAAAAAGGCTCTGTTCCAAATCTGAACCTTTTATGTTACCAAAGGGAGTCAGATGCTCGGTGCTGCCTCAGCTCAGTGTGGAGAGTGGGTAGTTTTAGCGTAGAAACATCATGTTTTCCAGTCAGTGTGTGTGTTTACTAGTTTTGGATTGTGTTCATTTTAATAAACTGTAGTGAAGGCTGTACCAACTCCAGCCTGTCTGGACATCGAGTCCACGGGTTTCTGTGTGGGGGCGGGCCGACTCCACCTAGACCTGACCGGGCTAGGCCAGATGTGAAAATGCCATTAGAGGACCCATCTCGCTGAAGCTCAGAATCGCACACTCCCTGACAGCCTTTCCCTGTCCCGACTGCTTCTCTGTACACAAAAAAGACAGAAAGGTCAAATATAACAGTTCCTGTCTTCCTGACTCTGTCCCCTGTAGGTGACTCTATGACGTACCACCATGGACGTCCCTTTTCCACTTATGATCATGACAACGACATAGCTGTCACCAACTGTGCTCTGTCCTACAAGGGAGCCTTCTGGTACAAGAATTGCCACCGAGTAAACTTGATGGGACGATATGGAGACAACAGTCACAGCAAGGTATGGTCTGCTGCAGCACACCTGAGACTAGCCCTTAGCCCCTTCCCTGCTATCAGTGTCCAGTCTCATGTTACTAGACGTGTGGTAAAACTCTCCATGCATTGTGGGCTTTCTGGTATGTTTTCCTTTGATCTAGCTTTTATATCAGCGGTCAGCGACAATACAAGGTTATTTTTACGAGTTTCTACAAGTTTCAAAACTTTGTATTCAGGTTTTAATTTTAGCTCTTTGCTTTCCATAAAGACGGTAGATGGTGTGTCTACGTTCCTGCCAGGTTGGATCCTTTTAACACGATCTGCCACATGAAAACTACACTTTTCACATTTTAAATTGTACACAAGGAGACAGGTAGCACAGGAACATCAGTCTGAACTGCTGCTTACTTGTTCTTGACACGCTTTCCTCCTTCACCCCCTTCTCCTCAGGGTGTCAACTGGTTTCACTGGAAAGGACACGAGCACTCCATTGAGTTTGCCGAGATGAAGATCCGTCCATCTAACTTCAGAAACCTGGAGGGACGAAGGAAACGATCTTAAAGATGTCTCACCAACAACATTAGCAACATTTCTCTTTCTGGACCCTTCACACACACACACACACACACACACACACACACACACACACACACACACACACGCACACACACACACACACACACACACACACACACACACCTACTCTTCAGCAGCCAAAGTGTCTACCAGGTCACTTCCAGAACCAGGTAAATTAGAGAAATTGATAAACAAACCTCTTCCCAGCATCTAACATCAAAGAGTCTATATTTACTGGATCTGATCCAGAACTTCACCCAGATCTGATTTTCCATTTTAATTTGTCACATCATCTGGTTTTGACCCACCCCATTTGGCTTGGTTCTGACCCATCCTGGGAGGCCTTTTTTGATCTGTTCCACGAGACCTGGTTCTGACCCGTTCCACGAGGCCTGGCTCTGACCCGTTCCACGAGGCCTGGCTCTGATCCGTTCCATGAGGCCTGGTTCTGACCCGTTCCATGAGGCTTGGTTCTGAGCCGTTCCGGGTGACCTGGTTCTGACCCGTCCTGAGAAGCCTGGATTGGTCAGTTACAGAGCATTTGTGTTTCTGGTCCAAAACAGTCAGAACACCTTTATATAACATTCTCCAACAGAAGATGGACCAGAACAGAACCCCTTTGGTGCTGCCCAGATGTCACACATCTGCCTCCCTCGTTGACTGTTCTCAGCCCCCACCCTGCCTCCACCTCCCACCTCGGACATTGATGTTTCCCAGAAGGCATTGTTTTGTATTTAGGGTATGTTACGGGCCTGTTATGCAAAATATGATAACATGCAGTGATTTCACCTTGATTGTTGTTGTTGTTGTTGTTGTTGTTGTATCTTTTTGGAAAAAAAGAAAATGGAAAATACATGTTAAACAAAAGTGGCTGTGATGCTCAAAACACAAAATAAAGGAAAAAAATCTATTCTAATTTGATATCCAATATTTATAGGTGGGCCTGAATGTTTTGTTGGTAAACAGTAGTCAGTGGGAAATCAAAAACATGAGAATTGATTACTTTTACTCTCCCTATTTGTAGAAGCCCCGCCCCTTCCCTTACCTCTGAAAGACTGCCTGTGTAAATGAGGATGTTTTATTGGTTTGTCTGTTTAGAATCAGAACTGGAGTTGTATATGTAAACTGTGTAAACAATAAACCAGTTTGTTTTAAACACTTAGAATCTCGAATCAAGTTTCCATTTTTGAGCAGCTTTCCTCTGTGCAAAAATCTAGTTTGGACGTCCTGTAGACGTGGTTTGGACCGACAGGCTCAATATAGACATCATCTGCATGTCTATGTGACGTTGACTGTTTACAGGGTTAAACTACAGTTTAAAGTGTTGAAACCGATTAAGTCAGCACAAGGTCTAATGTATGATGGCAGGAGTGGGTGGAGCTATGTATTCTTTGGGTAAAACCAATTGAGCCTAAGATATTACTAAAGGCTACATTGAGGCTATCATTTTCAATGTCCACATGAATATTAAAATCCCCCACTACAATGACCTTATCAGTATTTAGCACCAAATCAGATAAAAAATCAGAAATCTGACCCAAAAACTCAGAGTAAGGGCCTGGTGGACCATATAAAACTACAAACAAGAGTGGTTTTACAGTTTTGCAATCTGGATTAGGGAAACTAAGAATTGGATATATATTTTTCTTAGTTTTAGTCACAGTTCTTTTGAACAAGTTGAAAAAAACTATAACTATTAATTGGTAAGTGGCTGATTAATAGGTCTGAATGAAAAATGGTTGTTACTCCTCCTCCTCGCCCTGTACTTCGAGCAATATGATGATTTAAATAATTAGAAGGAGTCGACTCGTTTAAACTAACAGTCCTCTTGCTGCAGCCAGAATTCTGTGAGAGAGCAAAGAAATCTGATGATCACAAATCAAGTAATTAACTAACAAAAATATATTAGGTCTATATGTTAAAAGAAAATATAATGTTCAATAAACCACATATAATTTTCTAGTTTTCAGCTCAGTTGAATTTGTTCTTATTTTTATGAGATTTCCATGACTCCGCTTCCTGGTCTGGTCCCTGGGTTGTCATGGAGGACTAATAAAATTGGCCATGTTCCTAGAAAGAAGAGCTGCTCCATCCAAAGAGGGCAAAAGCAGTGGAAGTGAAGCCTCAATCGTCACCACTCGCCCACTGGTGGTGTGTGTGTGTGTGTGTGTGTGTGTGTGTGTGTGTGTGTGTGTGTGTGTGTGTGTGTGTGTGTGTGTGTGTGTGTGTGTGTGTGTGTGTGCGTGCGTGCGTGCGTGCGTGCGTGTGTGTGTGTGTGTGTGTGTGTGTGTGTGTGTGTGTGTTAATGTAGGTGATGTTTGGTGATGTAGATGTCTGATATGTATTTGAATTGGGGGGAACGGTCAAGATGAATAAATAAATAAACGAATAAATGAATAAATAAACCCCAGAAAGCGATGGAGGTGTATGGGACTTTGCATGTCGTACCGCGCCACTCCGTAGGATGGCGCTATTGCCTCGTCACTGTGGTATGAAACAGGAAACACTCCTGAGGTAAACTGTAAGCCAGTCAGGGAAATCCGTATGTTTTTGTTGACCGTGTGTCGTCGGTTTTGTTTTTGCCTCTTTGCTTGTGTTTAACGGTTTTAAAAGGAGATTATAGAAGCTGCAGACACCCGGGAGACGGCATGGCGACCACCATGAGCACCCAGAGAGGACAGGTAACGCGTACCCGAGTTTTTTGTCATGGAAATAATAAACATCCAGCCTTCAGTCGGATTTCCGGATAACGCCTCCCTTCACTTGCTCTGGGTGAAGGCAGCTTCGTCTGCATTAGACATGCTGCTGTTCGTTTACTTGCTGAAAAGATCAAGTCTTTATCTTGATGTAAAATCAGAGCCACGCAGATGAGCAGATGTTTATGGTCCATTGTAAAACAAACATGGATGACATCAGCTGGAGTATAACTAAATGATTTACGTCACTCATCATCATGTCCGCGCGTGCGGATTGTTTGATATCAGGTTATCCTGTTACTCGTATGATCCTGAATAAACCATTGTTGTTATTAAATCACCAGTTCAGAACCGAACCCGAACCGACGCACTGCAGATGTTTGTGAGGGTGGGTGGCTGTATAGATTCCTGATCAAAACACTTTCAGGATTTTCTTTTATAAATTGTTGGTTGTTACAATAAAATAAATCAGTTAAATAACACACACACACACACACACACACACACACACACACACACACACACAGTGATATTTGAGAAGTGAAACAAAGTTTAAAGGATTTACAGAAAGTGTGAAATAATTGTTTAAACAAAAATAAGCAGGTGTATAAATTTGAGCACTGTTGTCATTTTATTGATTCTAAAACCTTTAGAAATAATTATTGGAACTTAGAATTTGCTTGGTAAGCTCAGTGACCCTTGACCTCCATACACAGGTGAATCCAATCATGAGAGAGTATTTATGGGGTCAATTGTAAGTTTCCCTTTTTGAGTATTCTCTGAAGAGCAGCAACATGGGGGTCTCAGAACAACATGAAAACAAAAATTGCTCATCATGGTTTAGGGGAAGGATCCAGAAAGCTGTCTCAGAGATTTCAGCTGTCTGCTTCCACAGTCAGGAACATATTGAGGCAATGGAAGACCACAGGAACAGTTCAAGTTAAGGCTCCAAGTGGCAGACCAAGAAACATCTCAGATCAACAGAAGTGAAGAATGGTGAGAACAGTTAGTCGCCCACAGACCAGCATCATAGACCTACAACATCATCTTACTGCAGATGGAGTCACTGTGTTCAACTATTGGTGCAATTTACACAAGGAGATGCTGCATGTGAGAGTGATGCAGGGAAAGCCTCTTCTCCTCCCACAGCACAACCAGAGCTGCTAGAGGTCTGCTAAAGCACATTTGCACAAGCCAGCTTCATTCTGGAATAAGGTGCTGTGGACTGATGAAAGTAAAACTGAGTTATCGGTGTATAACAAGGGGCGTTATGCATGGAGGAATAAGAACACAGCATTCCTAGAAAAACACCTGCTACCTACAGTAAAACACGGTGGTGGTTCCATCATGCTGTGGGCTGTGAGGCCAGTGCAGGGACTGGGAATCTTGTTAAAGTTGAGGGACGCATGGACTCCACTCTATATCAGCAGATTCTGGAGACCAATGTCCAGGAATCAGTGACAAAGCTGAAGCTGCACCGGGGCTGGATCTGTCAACAAGACAACAACCCTAAACACTGCTCAGCATCTACTAAGGCGTTCATGCAGAGGAACAAGTAGAACGTTCTGGAATGTACATCTCAGTCCCCAGGCCTCGTGTCTTCTGAGTAATTTCCCCATAATGTTCTATAAAATGTGTTTTAATATAATCACGGTTCCTTTGTTTTTGTTTAGTTTCATTGCAGAATGAACTCTTTCTGACTAAACGTCCTGTTTTCAGTTAACCCTCCCACTGTCCTAATGGGTGTGACCCCGCAAGGAAAGTTGGCCATTGAGCAGGGTTGATGGTTTATCCCTTGGGTCCATGTGGCAGGGGTGAGGAGTGAGCACCACCTCAAGGGATAATGGGCTCGACACACGGGAGGCGACAAACGACCGCAATCAGCAAAATTCGTCGCTGTCGCTTTTATTACCTGACACACGAGAGGCGGCCAGCGGTAAAGCTACGCGTCTACGCGTTCTGTTCCATGGCGAAATCGAAACTTCCGTTGTTTTGTTTGGCTGTGTCAGGTTGGAGGGAATTAAGGTTATTTAAGCGGTTCAGAGTTAATAAAGTGATAGATATGATGTTTCACAAGGTGCTGCTAGAGTTATGTGAAATCTTACTTCTGATTTTACTATATAAAACATAATAATAATCAACTTCTCCTCCATGTTTGCTCGGAGGGGTACGGAGCATCCTGTCCGCTCATTGGTCAGTGAATGAAA